ACTACTGCACTGGCGATGGTGAGAGCTGAAACTAGAACCCTTTGGCTTGCAGTTACTTGAGGTTTTCTCCACTAACAGGTGCTCGTCGCGATGCTGATGATTATCTATGGATCACTGGCCGTGTGGATGACATGTTGAACGTGTCGGGACATCTCATGTCCACCGCCGAGGTTGAGTCTGTGCTCACCGAGCATCCCCGCGTGGCCGAATCCGCTGTGGTGTCGCGTCCGCATCCCGTGAAGGGCGAATGCCTCTACTGCTTCATCACGCCCAATGAGAACGAACCCTTCGATCAGAAGCTCATCTCGGACCTCAAAAAGATGGTGCGCGAGCGCATTGGACCATTTGCCCAGCCCGATGTTATCCAGAATGCTCCTGGCTTGCCCAAGACGCGCTCTGGCAAGATAATGCGTCGTGTGCTCCGCAAGATTGCCGTTAATGATCGCAATGTGGGCGACACTTCGACCCTGGCCGATGAGCAGATTGTGGAGCAGCTGTTTGCCAATCGTCCGGTGGAGGCCAAGTAGATGGCTAAGATATTCCATACCCACACATCCCCAGGCTTTCTATGACATGTCCTCCACTTTGCCATTGCACACCGCCTGGCTCTGGCCCAGTGCTTATACGTATCCCAATTACGTGTCCTGTAAATCTCGCCCCTACACATATACCTATTACTAGCTTTATATGTATAGGTATCTATCTATATATCCCCTTCCCTGTAGTGTAAACTTAATGCTAAATGTTGCTCCCGTTCCATTCCGTTCCGGGTTACGGCGTGGTTTAACGTCTTTCTAAATTCTATTTAGTTTTTAAGCCGTGTGCGTAAGTAAAGTGTTGGCCAGGGGAAATAGATTCCCCTGCCGCTTGCTGTTGGTAATCACCGTAGGTAAAACCAAAACCCATGCTCACACACACACATCTTTTTTGGCAGTTCTTTTCGTTTGTTTGTTCGTAGTCGTAGCCTAAGTTCTTGCTAATTCGTTGTGATACAAATTTAATTATATATCTTTACACTTATGTATGTATGTTTAGTAGAATTGATATGATATGATACAAAATATATACACAATTCCCAGTTATAGCCACAAATTAACACCAGTATCACCACTTTTCTGTTGTATGTTCCTTATGCTTTGTAGTACTGTAATTCCTTCCTTACTTTGTTCGATCTACACACATTTTGCAGCCACACGTAAGTTCGGAACTCCCTCCCTTTTATATATTATAAGATTGATGATGAACGAGATACATATCAGTACGGCATATCATTCCTATACAGAAGCTACTTACTTATAGAGAAAAAAAACACTACTGGGATAATCTACGTAGTTACATTATGTATACTATGTGTTATAATGGTCTGAAGACTTACTGCAACGAAACATATCATTGACGTTACTGCTGCAACAAACCTATAAATATTATATACCGATTATTATTGTTGTTAATTGAGATCTACCTAACTGAAGGAGCGATGAGAATGTGCACTATGGATGGTTGATTGGGGGAGTGTTAAGAGTTTGTTAGTTTTACAGAGTGTTGGCAAAGATCTACATACCATACACACACATACACATATATATTTATCGAGGTGCATATATCTGAATGTGTATATCTACATACGTATCGTGTATAATAAAGTTTATTGTTTCAATCTGCTTTTGATCTGAATGCGGAAAGATCATTTCATCATCATTTTAGTTTTGTTTTAAAATCAGATCTCATTGGCCTGGCATAGGCATTCCAGGAATGATCATTCCAGTCTAGACATACACAAAATTTTTAGCTTTGCCTTGACTTCTTGGCTGGCTGTGGGGCGATACTTAGGGAAGAGAGCATCAGCAGCAGCATGCCTGACCAGGAGGAGAAAAAGACAGAGAGCAACGAAAACATACCCAACACACGACCCACTAATGCAGCCATCGAATATGGACTGGAGGACCATGTAGCCACACAGCAGGATCCCCGTGTCTTGGAACTGATAAAGGCGGAAGAAGCGCGGCGTCTTTCGACGCAGAGTGGCACTGGTGTCAGGCAGAATAGACCACACGTTGTGTCTCCGCCTCAAACAGATCCTCCATCTGTATCCAAGGCAACACCTGAATCTGGATCTGCATCTGTGACCCCGGCCGAGTCTCCATTGAAGCCCATGCTTCGTTCACAGCAATCCTGGACCGAACGAAAGCCCCCTTCGGAGGACCAACCCTACAATGCTGCCACGGACTTTGGCTTGGAGGAGGCCAAGGCCACAAGACAGGATCCCAGGGTGGAGCGCATCTTGATATCCGAGCGTAAGCCAAAGGTAAGCTTAGCTGCCGAGAACTTTGTTCGTAAAGTTGACCGAAAACTAAACAGGAGACCAAGCAAACACCCACGGCGGCTGCATCGAGATCTCCGCTGCCATCAGAGGAGAATATTCAGGCTTCGCAGCCTGCAGCGGAGCCTTCCATACCTTTGGTACCAAAAGAAGCACCGATACCTCCAGCGCCACCCAAGCCAGTAGAAGTGAAGACTGCCCCGCAGCGAGAAGAAGCCAAGATACCGCCACCACCTCCGCGACCGGAGGACGTGCGTATGCCGCCGCCCACCATGTACAGCAGTGGGTGTGTCACGGGTGCTTGTGCTATGCCAGCAATGACACGAAATGGACGAGGGAGAAAAGAGTGCCATGAGGACTGCGGCCTGCCATGCAGGAATCCGAATCAGGCAGATGTTTGGAAGGACCCAGAAGAAGATGATGGCAACACGAAGAGAATCAACACCGACTACACCGTCGATCCGGCGAAGGAGTTTACGCGGGCAAGGACGAGTACTGAAGACAGTAATCGGCATGATACGCCCGTGATCATCACACCACCCCCGCATGTTAACCTCCCCGAACCCATCCCCGAGCCTGTAGCCGACCCCGCCCCTGTCCCCGTCCCCGCTCCTGTCCCCGTCCCCGTCCCAGCTCCTCGCCCCGTACCCACACGAGACCCTTCTGATGAGAGTGAAAAGGTTACCAGTGGAAGTACTCGAGTGGCTTCTGACGGAGATACCACAGAAGCCACTGTAAGTGATTCACCGACGCGAAAGAAGACACCCCTGGATGATACAACAGAAAGTGAGAGTAGTTCACCGTTGATAAAACCACCCGAATCAGATGAAGGAGAAGTAGCTAGGGGCAGTGAACCAACAGCGACAGCGCCACCTACTGTGCAGGAGCTGTTCCGTGAGGCCAGCAAACAGGTGAGGGCGGCGGGTGCCATGGCCCTGGAGGCGAACAAAGTGAGGCAGGAGTACACAACCAAACAGCACGAGCACGATATCATCACCAGCACCGACAAAGAGGTGGAGGATAAATTCATAAAAGAGATGAGCGCGCGGTATCCAACTCACCAGTAAGTTTAGGAGCAAATCAACAGCAGAGTTCCACTGTAGATCCCGCTCTTCTCGTAGATTCATTGGTGAGGAGGCTATTTCCAAGACAGAGACGGGCCAGGTGGAGCTCACCGATGAGCCCACTTGGATCATCGATCCCATAGATGGCACGATGAACTATGTGCACCGTTTTCCCTACTACTGCATCTCCGTGGCACTGGTGTTAAATAAGCGAACCGAGTTCGGTATTGTTTACAATCCTCCCATGGATGAAATGTACACGGCCCACCGGGGGAAGGGCGCTTTCCTCAATGGCGAGCCCATCAAGACCAGCGGGCAGCAAAGTCTGGAGCAGGCGCTGGTCCTACAGGAGTACAGCACGGGCATGAACGAGGACCGCAATACAGTTGTCCTTGGCAATGCCAAGCGGCTGCTCAAGAAGACCCACGCGTAAGTAGAAGCCAGCCGACCGGTCACAGATTATTTCCCTTTCCAATTTGCAGCATGCGCTCCATTGGCTCCTCTGCCATGGGTCTGGCCATGGTGGCCTCGGGCGTTGCCGATGCATTCTACTACTTTGGGCTGCACATCTGGGATATGGCAGCGGGCGTGATCCTGGTACAGGAAGCCGGTGGAGTCGTTATTGATCCTGCTGGCGGTGAGTTGGACATCATGTCCCGGCGCTGTCTGGCAGCTGCCTCCATGCCCTTGGCCATTGAATTGTCCGAGCAGTTGGACCAAAATTATCCCTCACCACGCGACGATCAGCCGGTCAGAGCACCGAAAGTCGAGACGAAAGATTTCTTCTCACAAACTGACTTTAGCGACTCATCGGATTCCCTAACCACGGATTCTTATAGTACGCCTACACATCAAAAACAATTAGTGTCTGCTAACCAAGAAGTCTAAGCCAATAAATTCACATCGGATTTCACAATGTTTTTGTTGGTCACCTAGAAGTGTTGGATAAGATCTGCAGATTTTATGGCAACGTGCCAATTAGCACATAATTCATCCACATGCAACATACCGATACGAACAAGCTACTGATTTAACATTTTAACAGACATTTACATTATTCTTATCGAGCAAAATAACGGGCTGCTGCTGCCCCGTTTAAACAGGCCTTAAATTGGCTTTTTGTTGCTAATTTTCGTTCTCTCAAATCGTGGTGAAGTTCGTTGTTTGTGACGCTTAATCCTTATCCTTAGACAATCCAGTCAAGTAGATTCTCTGAATGTAGACAATATTGTATAATTTATAATATATATTTCTTAATCGGAAACAATTAACAATTTAGTGCTGCGGGTCTGATTGAGAAAGTAATATTAATCCGAACACCGAAATCGAAGAATTGTATCCGATCAACAAAAGCGAAAGTTAGCCCATTGTCGACCATGGGGGTATTTAATCTTCCCACGAACATTACGAAACTTGCCAAACTCCAGCGCTGTTTAAACGATAGATATCGAAGTCATTTTATTAGTATGTAAAGAGGAACTATGAACCTACAAGGAGAACTCACAAACTGTATAATTTTCAGCGGCTTAAAGCAAGCTTTTCACCTGTTTAAATGTAGGGTGTTTTAGTGGGTTAAGTTTCTTCACTCAATTACGGTATATCGATTGTCGGTATATCGGCATGTTCCTAATTAAATTAAAACGAATTTGCACGTCAAAATCAGCTCCATTCAGTTTGTACAACGCGAACCCTGCAAAAATCCACACAATGGGCGATAACGTGGACTTGGAAAAGTGTTTTGAGGTCATCAGCAACCTCTTGACCGAGGCTGGACGCGTAAGTGGTGGAAAGTACACTTGAAACTTTCCTGCGATGGAATTTTCCCTTGCAGTTGATTGCCCGCAACAATGAGACGCGCCAAGAGTTTGTGTGCAAGAGTGGGGACATTGACTTGGTCACACAGACGGACAAGGATGTGGAGAAGCTCCTGATGGATGGCGTGCGTCGGTATTTTCCCGACCACAAGTAGGCACAACAGGTAGGAGCAGTAGAACAATACAATAATGTTTCACACTTTTGCAGGTTCATTGGCGAGGAAGAGAGCAGCACTGAGGCGGGTGTGAACAAGCTCACGGATGCGCCCACCTGGATCATTGATCCCGTGGATGGCACCATGAATTTCGTTCATGCTTTTCCCCATTCCTGCATCTCTGTTGGCCTGAAGGTTAACAAGGTCACGGAGATCGGCATGGTGTACAATCCCATACTGGAGCAGCGCTTCACAGCCCGTCGCGGCCATGGCGCCTTCTACAACGGTCGCCGCATCCAAGTGAGTGGCCAGCAGGAACTGAGCAAGGCTCTGGTTACCAGCGAATTTGGAACAACTCGCGACGAGGCCAAAATGGAGGTGGTCAACGAGAATTTCGCCAAAATGGCCAAACATGTGCACGGGTAAGTGCTCGTCAAACTTTGAAGTCTTTCCATTCAATATTCCTTTAAATAGTTTACGCGTCCTGGGCTCCGCTGCCCTCAACATGTCCATGGTGGCCTTGGGCGCCGCAGATGCCAATTACGAGTTTGGCATTCATGCCTGGGATGTGTGTGCCGGCGACTTGATAGTGCGCGAGGCGGGCGGTGTTGTCATTGATCCCTCTGGCGGAGAGTTTGACATAATGTCACGTCGTGTACTGGCCGCAGCCTCGCCCAAGCTGGCCCAGGACATCTCTAAGCTGTTGACTCAGTTCCATCCTCAGCCTCGCGATGATTAAGCATAAATGGGGATTCCATTCCGTACTTAACGTACTAACTGAAATGCATTTGAATTATACCCGACCGTGTACCTACCTAGAATCCCAAATGGGCAAATTAACCAACTACTCATGGAAAATTCCAAATAAAACTCGTGTATAGAGTATTCCTTCTATATTATCAACATACATACATACACACAACATACATCGTATCGTCAGTTTTCAGTGGATGATATTTTGCAGCTGTTTATCAATTTATTCAAAGACGTTTTTGCCTGTTTGTTTGTTTGTTTGCCTTTTCTGTAATTTTATTACAATCTGCTCCAGCCATGTGTGTGTCTGTTTTTCGTTCTAATTAGTTTTCGCAGTGTTCTTATCGTCTGTTGCTTATTTGTTTTTGTAATGTGTTTGCGGCTTAGTGTTATGAATATTGTTTTTGTCTATTTTCTTAGTATGTTAGTAAAGCGAGAGCCTTGCCTCATATCTTTATGCCTGCTCATGCCCTGTACTCCAACCAGACCACAATGGGAATGGGCTTTCAGGTTGAATTGGAGTTTCCGACTCATTTATGGATGTGAATGCTTTTCTGTTTTGTTTGATATTGATATAGGTCTAGTTACACATACAAATATCTGGTTTACTTTTGCGCTGCTCGAGAACTTTGGTTTGTTCGTAGGAAGTCGGCGTCAGTTTGATTTGTTTTCTTTATTTATGCGCGCTGTAGTTGCAGTTGCAGACAGAGAGATGTTCGAGTATTATGGACTATCGTTAATACCATTTAAAATTTGACACATTGAAAAATGTAATCAAAGCTACAGTAGGTAAAAAATTGTAGCTATGTATATATTTATTATAGGTATATCATGTATATCATATATTTTATGTATAAGTTAATTAGTTAATTTAAAAATCTGTTGTGGTTCTTGTTCTGTTTGTTGTTTGTTAATGCTACATTCACAAAGTTCCATTATGCGCACTGGTTTACAAAATTAACACAGAGATTTGTTGGGGTTTTGAAATCATTATTGTGGGATCGAAGCTGGGGACTGCGTGTGCTGGCATATTAAGTGGTTTGTCTTCTAAGATATTGCAAGTCATAATATAGTCTATATATCTGCATGTATGTATGTCTATATAGTTATTGATTTCTCGATATTTTCTAATTCAATAAGCGAAAGGTACACATGGAGCATAAAATGGTCGCCACGGCCAGCTGGGATCGTGGCCACCGTCTACATTTAATATTTTCTTTGTCACACTAATAAAATGTACAAAATGTTTCTATATAAATTCAACAATCAATGCAGAGAGAGAGAGAGCTTTAGAGAGAAGAATCCATTTTTTGATTTTGTTTTTTTTGTTTCATACATATATTCGATATATGGATAGATTTGATGTGTATAATATATTTAGTTTATTTCTGATTGATTTATGATTTGCAAGTTTGATTTTCAATGTAAACGTAACACACGAAATTTAGCACCAATCTATTCAAGAATTGATCAAACAATTTGATTGTTCCAAGAGTATACAAAACGAAGCCTTAAAGCACTTAAACTAGAAAGTTATCTTAATCGTAGGTATGTCAAAAGGTTTCGATCTTAAGTGATTAACTGAACACTTTCAATGGAGGCTGTTGCCGTAGACGATCTATCCGATATAACGTCTGGAGAGATCATCGAGCAACTGATTGTGGGCGGGGACTGGCGTGGGGGTCGGGGGATAAATAATAATCAAGTCGCAGCAAGTTAATGTTAAAATTTAATTTAGATTTATTTACACGCAGATACAATAAACGCATCGATCATCATAGGCATAGATTTATCAGATTTATCAGATTATGTACCAAGTTCTTTATTTATATATGTATTTACTCGTATATATTATATATCGTTTGAATCCTTCCTCAACTCAATTCAAGCAAAACAAAATTGGGTCTTTTTGCTTTCAGACTATCTCTAACACTAGCTAGGTATATCCGATAATAGTAATTTAAGATTCTTAAAAAAAAAACCAGTTTTTATCGAACTTTAACGCTCGCCCTTCAGTCGAGTTTCTGTGTCTAATAGATAGATGCCTTGGGATAGCTGGCCAATGGTTGATTGTGGCATCGATCCTCCAGTCAGTGCTTAGAGCGGGGGTGATGGGATGGGATGGGATCTGGGATCTGCTCGAGGAGGGTGCAGCCGAATGGTGGGTATTGGATGATGTGATGATGTTTCAGAGTGCAGCTTAGCGTTGAATGATGGTTTGAAAAAATGAAATAAATAATTTATGTTTAACGCATGGATATGTTTAGCGGGTAGCGAGGGGGGGAAGAACGCCTTTAACATTGCTAATTTGCCTTTAAGCTTAGTTAACTACTCGTATGTTGGATGCTGCTGCTCTTTCTCCACTATGCTCTGTTAACGCTAAGTTCTTAAGCCTACAAGTTGTAGAATATTTGTTGCGGTTGCTTTGCACGGCCCTGGGCGTCTCGGTCTCCCCCCGCCCCCTACAGCTCATCATCGGCCTTGGGTATGTCGAAGATCTCCGCAAAGAGGGGCGGCAGCCGCAGCTTGGTCCAGTTCATTCGCAGCCAGTCTAGATGTGAGAAGTGCTTGGCCCCCAGCGAGCGCAGTTCGGGGATCTTAGCCTCGAGGGCGGGCATCAGTTGCAGCGCCTGCGGGGATCCGGCCCGAGAGCGCAGAATCTGTACGCGTAGCGCTTCGGCCACCAGCTCCCGCGCCCGACCAATCACCTTTGGCTCACTGAGTCCGGCGCGGTCCGAGGCCAGCAGCACCATGGCCGAGAAGAGGCCAATCTCGGTGTCGCTCAGCCCGTAGGCATTCAGCGTATTGGCAAAGTTCAGCAAGGCATTGACAAAGTCGGTCTGAAAGGCAGAGAGAGGGAAACATTAGAGAACTGCAGATAAGCCTTAGGGGAATGTCCTTACATCGTAGAGTATCTCCAGCTGCTGGCGTGTCAGATAGGCGCCATCGTCCAGCGTCAGTGTCGTGTCATTGATGAGACGCGCCACATGGGTGAGCCAGACCTCGAAGAAGCCCAGTTTGATCAGGATCAGCTGGTCATCTTGGGTGAAATCACAGAAGCCAGGTACGCGTTTCGCAAACTCCACAATCCGCTGAACGCCGGGCGTTACCCTGGCCGAGAATTGCTGCCAGAGCCAGATCTTCTGAAACTCCAGACTCTCCGCTACTGTGGTGGCAATCTAGACAGAGGGAAACGGCAATTAGTAGTGGCAGGAGGCAACAGTTTTCTGGGTACTTACGCCATTCTGTGGCACCGTCACTGGACGTCGCATCAGTTCCCGCGTCAGCTCCTCCGTGTAGGAGCAGTTGAGGCGATGCGCCTGCGAGACGCACACAATCACATCGTAGACGGTTAGCTCGTTGGCCGTGCCGGCCATGCCATCATGGCACATTGTCACCTGATGGCCACCAACCTCGCTGGCCATGCCGTTGCCCACGCCCACCATTTGCTGATGTCCGCCGACGACTACAACTCCCACGCCGCTGCCTCCGCTGGCATTGCTGCCGTTGTTGTTGTTGTTATTGTTGTTGTTGTTGGTGGCACTATTGCAACCGCCCAGCTCCGATGGCGAGGAGGCAATCGAACACATTTGTGGCGTTTGTGGTGTACTCGGTGTCTTCACACGGACGCTGTTCACATGCGGCGTCAGTGGCTGCTGTTGCTGTTGTAATTGTTGTATTTGCTGTTGTTGTTGTTGTTGCTGTTGCTGTTGCAGTTGATTTGTATGCAAATTATTGACAGTGGATTCATCCACATTTAATGGCGCACCGGCCAACAAGGGGCAGGCAGATGTAGAGCTCGCTCCGCCCGAACCTGCTGCGGTAGTGGACCCAGCACCGTTCAGCTCACGGGATCGCTTGGGAACACGACCATAACGTACAGCTAGATGAGAGAGAGAGGGAGAAGGGATGGTTAATAATGAAAGAAAATTGTTTGATTGATAGATTCATAAATTGTTTAAAAGTTTTGCCAAGTTGTAAAGTGTTTAAGCGAAACCGCCCCAAGTTATGCTACATTTTGGATGCCATAATTCATGTATGTAGAATGCATGTAAAAAGCATGTAGAAAGTACAGTCTGAATACGTACCTGACCCCATATCAAATACCAATTCTCAATGCGGATCAAAGTGTGGATTTTTTGTGGCTATAAAAACACTTTTTAGTTTTTCTCTAAGTAATTTCCATTTTTAAACATAATTTTTTTTTCTTTAAATACATGTACTAAAAGTACTGCCAAAATATGTTTTAAATTACATGTTTCACTCAATGTTCACACACTGAACATAATTTCTAGAATTTTTTTGCTTATCTTATTCTTCCAATTAGTCACAAAACTATTTCCCAATTTAAATTTTTAGTTTTACGCTACAAAACAGTCAATTAATATTAACACGATAGCACTGCTGGCAACCTCTACAGATTTATATATATTTAGTTAAATTCCCAGCAATAGTTTGAAAAAAGAAAAACAAGAACTGGCACACGCATAAATCTTATAAATGCGTCACACACTGGTGGCTACATCTGCATCTTTGTAGCAAATTGCCAACATTGCCGTGCGATCAACTAGAAAATTTCGGTGTCCTACAACATGTTGAAATGGAAAGGCAAACCACAGACAGAAGTCGGGGGGGGTGGGCTAAAATATATTTCAATTTCAATTTGTATTTCGTATTTTCGCATTTTGAAGTGATGTTCATTAGCCTCAGGTTTTCTTGAATTTTCCTCTTTGTAAATTGCACAACATGAAAATGTTTTCCTTTGTGCAACCAAATACTCGTGCTCGTGCTCGCACTCGCGTCTGAGCATATTTTATTAATTAAAATCGCATTTCGGCTGGCTGGCTGGCTGGCAGGCAGACAAGAGGCAAAAGCAGACGCAGCTGCTCCAGTTGCTGGCTTTCAGCTGGCGCTGTGGCTGCTCTGTGGCTGTGGCTGCGGCTGTTACTGTCTGTGGCTGTGGCTGGTCGTCGGGCAGCACTACCACCGCGCTCGCTCACTTTATCAGTGGGACATTGACCCACTGTGCTCAATATGAAAACGGAGGCAAGTGATTTTGTTGTTGTTGCTGCTGCTGTTGCTTCTTTTTTTCGCCTTATATGTGTGTATTTCTTCAGCTTTGTCTTGTTATTGTGGTTCGTTTGGTAGCCGGCGGCATCCGCGCACGCTGGTTTACAAATGACGAAAGCCTGCCCCTACTCTACACTATGCGTCAGCATTCAACACAAATAATATCGTATAATAAAGCAACCAAAGTGAAAGAAACTTCGCACACGGATTGCGCATACGCCACGTTTGCCGTTTGCTGTTGCCGGAAAAGTCTGTGCAACACGCAAGTCGACTGGGCCCACAGCATCATGCAAAGTGAAAGATGGCCATTAGTCGATGCTGACCCACATACATTTCCCGCACGACAGAAGGATCGTAAAGGTCATTAGCGTTGCCCCCCTTGACCACGCACCAACCTTGTCACAGTTACACTTTGGAGTTCTCATTGTGGCGCGAGAGGCACGCTCAACAATCACCCACCCACAAAAGCCATCAAGTGTTGGCGTTAATTGTCACAGGTCGTAAATTAATTATGGCACACACACTCGACTCCCCCCTGTCCAGCATTGGATTTGCATTATGGGGCAAACGTGGATGGATTGGGTATGTGGCTGCCACCTTCGAATCGCAGTCTACGCTAATTGCTTGTGGCGGGCACTCTCGGCGTTCTTGCTCCGTTTCTTTTGAGGTGCTTTCAATTAGCGGCTCATTGCCCATTGCCCATCATCGCCATTGCCTCACGCTTGTTGTGCCCATTGATTTTTGCAGATCGAAAAGTGCGAGGCTTGAGGAGCTCCAGAAGTGGAGCAGCTCAATGGATCTGGCTTTGAAGTGTGAATCCATAATGGTGGTGTTTAGATAGCGGCTGCACCTCTTACTTATAAGAGAATTAACCCACATTACTCTTTCTTTTCCACCCATAATCCCCCATCATTAGTTATTCAATTCAATGGCTGTGGAGCCTGGGCAGCAGCAGTGGCAGCCTGTCAGCTGTCACCACCCACAGAGGCGCACACACCCTGGCACGATGGGCACTTTGGCTCAGGTCAACATCATCCATTACACACGTTCCATGTCCCGAGCAGGCCCATTCAGGGGGGAGCCAACATACATAAATAAGCGGAGCGCATTGCTGGCCTAAGCTGAAACTTTTTTCCCATCGTGGCTGCCAGCTAAAAGCATCTTAAGTGATTTAGTGCAGCCAAATGACGAGCAGAGAGTGCCGTGGAGAGGCGGAAGAGGGCCAAGAGTGGGCCAAGAAAAGAGAGTAAGAGGTGGAGGGTTGAGTTGGAACAAACTCGTTTAGGCCATAGCCAGGGCATCCGCATCGCCAGCCAAGCCAAGCTCCCACTTCTGGCCAGGGGGAAGAAAGGATTTGGGTCACCAAAATCTGTGGCAGCAGCAGCACCATCAGTGGCAGCAGCAGCATCAGCAGCAGCCGTAAAGTGGCCAAATGTTGCCCGCATTTAGCTTACTTCCCCCTGCCCTGCCCTGCCCTGCCCCTCGCCACATTTTCGTCTCGGATTGGAGCAGCGGCCATTAGCATGCAAAGAGAGGGCCAACTGCTGGAGCGCTACATACATTTATGTACATCTGTACATGCATTTATATGTATGGATATATGTGTATGTATATGGTTGATATATTTTTTGGGCTTTAGCGTGCGCATGAATGGCCCTGCCCTGCTCTGTCCCCGACCCCGTGTTGCCGCTGCTGCTGCTGCCTGACCTCGTTTGAGGTCGTTCGTTCACCTGTCGTCGCTGCCTGCACTTTATGCACTCTACATTTGCATGACTGCATGGCTGTATGTGTATGTGTGAGGGAGAGCAGAGTAGCGTATGTGTATGTGTGTGTGTGTTTACCCAGTTACGAAATTGTCCAAAATGCTGCGGCTTACTGCTGGGTGAAAGTTTTGTTGTTTGTTTGCCGTTCAACAAAAAGTAAAACAAAAACGAAGAAAAAGCAAAAAGCAAAAAGAATTTCAGAGCCTAAGAGACTTGGGTGGATACCCTAACGATAGCGAGCTTTACAGATGAAGAAGATGAATGAGAATGCGGCGATTTTCGATTAGTAAAAGTCATAGAAACGGAAGCAACAAGTGCCAAGTTCTTTCCGAACAGATCTTTGACTATGATCTTCCATAAATTCACAGAAATATTCTGCTAGAATTCAAGAGCTGAAAACTCAAAGAACTTCAACAACTTTTCCATAAGTTTCCCATACAAAAAGTGCATTGGCTGTTCGTTGTGTCAAAGCGTCAACGTGCCTCTGGCCGCTTCTTTTGTTTGCTGTGTTCCATATGCACCTGGGTGTGCCTGCATCTGTGTGTGTGCGCCTGTGTAAGTTGGAGTATCTGGAACAGCTAAAATTGTTAGTTGCGTGCTAAATTTGTTGCTTTATGCCGGCGGCAGCAACAGCAACAACAACAAAAAGTCACACGCAGCAACCGCCCACCCAACAAAAACAACTACAACTACAACTACAAGTTAAACTAACAACCAACAAAATTGTGTCATGCAATTTGCGTAAATTATCGCAATGCCTCTGCCTCTGCTCCCTCTGCCGCTGCCGCTGCTCCCTCCGCCTCTGCTTTGTTGACTGTTGCCAGTGCATGAGGACAATTGCAGTCTAATGACCGCTGAAATGAGAATTGCTTCAGCATCGATTTGCCCTGACACATATTTATTTGATTTGGATTTGATGGGATGACAGCAAGTGGAATCCTAGTCCTGATTGATCGGACAGTTGCTCACATTCTTCGGGTAATCGCACACAAACTTTTCCCGATTGAACCACATCCCGAGCTCACAGAATCCCAACATGGGGCACCCTTCCACGCAGGTCCAAAAGGAGCGGCAGTGCTGGGCATGGGGCAGGATCTGACCATGGAAGCGGCACTGCACCTCCTTGTTGCCACAGCCAGAGGGGTGCACTGGGTTGCCTGGATATCCTGGATTTCCTGGATCTCCTGGATTTGTTGAGTTCTCACAATCTTTGCGTGGACACTGTCCAGCCACACAGGCATTCAGACTGATGTCGAAGATCTCCCCCAGGTTGCATTTCAAACGCTTTATGTAGTCCTCGCCGCATTGGAAGTACCCGCCACAGTCATTGCAGTCAGGCAGCAGATCGCCCACCTGATGGTCCTTGCAAATGCAAAAGGTATCCAAATTGGTCGCATCCTGGATGGAACAGCCAGAGAGTGCTGCTGATCTGTTGCAATCGCTGCGCGGACACTGGCCAGGCACACAAGCAGTCACTCTGCTGTCGAAGATCTCGCCTGGATTGCATTTCAGTCTCTGTATGTTGTCCAGACCGCACTGGAAGTACCCGGAACAATCATCACAGTCGGGCAGCAGATCACCCACCTGATGGTTTTTGCAAATGCAAAAGGAGTCCGAATTGCAAGGAGAATAGGTCTGAACCTGTGCCTGCACGTTCCACAAGAGCAATAGCCACAAGTTTATACAAACTGCAAAGGATTATTCCTTGTAAAGAGTACGATTGAGGCATCCGGCTGTGGCTTACCCAACTTCATGCTGTCTTTAAAGCTTTACAATCCGCACTGATTGCAGGTCGCTGGAACTTGCCACATTTTATATGTTTAGTTGTTATCTACTAAAAATCTAAAGTGCAACTTTGTTGCCACATGTGGACACTGCAATTGACCCAACTTCTAATGGTAAGCAGACATTCGTATCAGACATTTCCTGGCGATAGTCTTTCCACTTCAGTTGATGTTTGTCTTATAATGCTCGATAGATACAAGGAGTGCATAAAATAAACAACAAAAGGCAATCCCATGACACTGTCAATCCCAACAAATGACCCACAGTCCCGGACCCACAGCAGCAATCGCGGAGGAGCACGTGTTTGCTTACATTTTTTGGGGCAGGGCATTCCGACTGGGAATATGAATACAAAATCGAGTGAGAAATCAAAGACAAAGGCGCACCGCACACACTCGCCGCCTAGTATGCAAATTTCGTACTGACCTACTCCCATAAGAAAATCAAATGGAACCACAAACCAAAAGCAAAACCAAAGCAAAGCAAAGAGAAGAGAAGAGAAGAGACGATAAGAAGATATATGGGATAGAGGCATTAATATCCAAATTCCCAATTCAAATTGTGCAGAGAGCTAAGAGAGAGAGAAAGAGAGAGGCGAACAAATATTTATGCAAATCTCTCGAAGAGGGCGTCGATCTCAAGTCAATCAATCAGAATTTTTGGTTTGCTGGAGGGGGGAATCGATGAAGATAGATGGATAGTGGCACGGTACGTTCTGTGGCAAATTGCGGGCAATTAGCATGTTCTCTGTGCTGCTGGGAGAAAGGCTTTCTTTCCCTAAAAAGCTTGACGCCTAAAGTGTACCCACCCCAGTTCTGGAGTGCAAAGTGGAGAGGGGGTAAAAAGCGTTAGAAATAGTTTTATTTTCTGTCTATTTTCTGTGTGTGCTGTGTGCCTCCCATTCACATGCTCGTCTAAGCTTCTGTACCGCCTGCTGCCCACTACTATGTGAAGTCTTCCCCCCTCTTCACACAGACTCAAATGTATCTACGTATACATAATTCACTTAAGCGGGCTCAACGAAGCGAGATGAATGACCTCAATTTGAATAGTTGTCTCTCTCTCTGTCCGACTGTCCATCTGTCCATCTGTGCCGCTGTCCAGCTGTCCGCTTGTGTGTCCGCTCTGTCTATCTCTGTGTCCGCCTGTCTGTCCATCTGTTTGCTTCCATGACTGACTTTTTGGGTGCCATTTAAATCAACAAAAGCCACCGCCTACTTTTATTTTTTTGACAATCTCTTTCGTAGTCTTTTTCCACTTCTTTTGGGGAGGCCTCTTCTCTTTTATTCTCTCTCGTATATATTTTTTGTTAGATTTGATTGCATTCTTGTAAAATTATTCAAATGCTCTACAATTTTCGGGGCCAGTTTTCTCTTATTAAACACGCAGCAGCAGTAGCAGCCGCAGCCACACAGCTCCAAAGCAAAGCGGGAATTGAGGTTATAATTATAACTGCCTCTGCCTCTGCTGCTACTGCTGCCTCAACTGCTGAAAGGAGTGGCTGCCCCATCACCATCATCATCATCGTCATCATCATCGTTGTCGTCGCAGTCTCTGTCTCTGTTGTTGCTGTTGGCATCGTTTTTCTTTTTTATCTATTTGACACAATTCTCTGGGCAAAGTTGAGTTTGCTGTTGCCTCCGTTACTGCCTCCTGCCTCCTGCCTCCTCCTCCTCCTCCTCCTACCACCACGGCTCTGGCTCGCTGCTCTGTCAGAGATTTCTGTTTAGTGACACAGTTTATATTACAGGGAGTCGAGAAGCGTTCTCCCCTTGTATTTTGACTACCTAATTAGATAGAAAAACAACGAAAAAAAATAATGAAAATGTTTGCAGAATTTCGTGTTGCAAGCTACAGACAGTGGGTGGCGTTCTGCTGATTGAGTGCTTAGATCAAAGGCAGCTTGGAGTTTCGGGTCAAAAGCAAAGCACGATTTATGGCTTTAAGCATTTAGATAAATTGCCAGCGACGGGGCAGCAGCGATTCATCAGATTCTGTCTATAGAAAGCAGGCAATAAACGTTTCAATTAAGCTGCAGATGAACACAGAGATTATCGTCATCAGAAAACCACCAAAAAGACATCAGTGTTTATATGCGGATTTGAGTGAAATTACCAGATCATTAAGCGTATCTTGAACCTGTTCCAAAAACCGCATTTACTTATTTATTTCTGTATCAAAATCGAAACTGAAATGCGAATTTACCAGCAAAAAAAAAAGAGCAACAGAGATAAAAATATAATTAAATATTAAAAGCTGCCTAAAGCCAAAAACCGTTCGACAGCCGGAAGCGAAAACGAGTCCCGCGCTGGCGGTGACTGCGTATGAGTAATGCCGAGCCACTCGAGTGGGATCTTATCAAATATTTGCACTAAAATGTGCGGCTAAATTAAACAACAAAAAACAACGGCAGCAGCAGCAGAAGCAGCAAAAAAGTCAGACGCCCAAAAAAAAAGCAAACCAACAAAATAAAAGAAGCAAAATAGGTTTTCGATGCTCCAATTTGATAAGCGGGTAGCAAGCGAGCGCATTAGCAATTAGCGAATTAAATGCCAGCCCAGGCCCAGCGGCTAGCGCGCGCGTTTGTGCTATAAATGTTTCAATGAACTAAAAAAAAAGCCTTCATCCCAACATCCCGCTCTCCATACATACATATTTCTATCTATCTATCTATCTGGCTGTAGGAGCCTTAATGAAAAAACAAACAATTAAATTAGCCAAGAGGCAAACGTCAGGCCAAAGACGAAGGCGAAGACAAGAATGCGAATCGACAGAGGAAAACTAGAACGCCGCCACATTTGTGGGATGCCAACCACAGTACAGTAGTCTGTCGAAGGGGCAGGGCAGGGCAGGGCAGGGCGGTGGCATGACAGAGACAAGATACAGATACAAAGCGGAGAGATGAGATCAATGCTCGCAGTCAGCCGGCAGTCCAATCGAACGTTGGATCGTTGGCTGATCGATCGTTAGGGAAGGCAGGGCCAGTGATTGATTGAATTAATAATACAAATTAACAGCGCCAAGTAGGTAAGATCAATGATCGGCCAGAGCCAAGTGGCACGGCGTGCCAGTGGGTGCTGCTACGCTTTGAACAGCAGAGCTGCCCCGACTGTCTGTCTACAGCGGTCACAGCACCAGCGAAACGCCTAATAGTGTAATTGTGGGGGGAGGATCTACTGTAATTGAGTTGAATGAATGTTTGGATCAATCGAAGAACTCTGTGTGTGGATCATAAATTGGAATGATCACTGATCAGTGGTTATTGATGATGAACGCTTGACTACAGAGATCCACAGGATTGCTTCACTGATACACGTTCTGGCAAATATAAATCCGTGCCGATGATTGCACAGTCAATTTGATCATCCCATGTTATCCTCATGGCGAGAATTCACATTCCCTCCATCGAATCTCAACATAATCAGATCACTTAGTGGACCATCGATAGCGACCGTTTCCTGTCTGCTCTGCTCTCTGGCTCAACATAATAAGATCAACATCAGATCCGTCACCATATTGTCAATGAAAGTCAACAAGAGTCGTTGTCTTCATTATGAGGAGGTCGGTCTCTCACACACACACACATTTGCACACACACATCCGCACGATCATTGACCGGGGAGCCAGAGCGTTGCAGGCGCGTGAGTGATTTCGTTGACTCCTCTTCCTCTCTTGGCTCTGCTGCTGATGGAGCTGCCGTTGCAGGAGTTTTCAGACACAGGCCCCAGGGCACCGGCACTGTCCAATGGCTACTGATCGCAACAGCAGAAGCAGCAGTGAAGGAGCATTGGAACCAGCAGCACCAGCACCCTGCCCTGACAGTGCGTTGAACTATAAACGTCGTTGTCGTGGAGGATGATGCTCGTTCTTCGTTTTTGCACTCTTAAACAGGGTATTATGGTTTTCAGCTGAGGTTTAAACTATATTTTTAATGAATGTCAATTTCCTATGCCTAGCAATCCTATAATTTTCGAGATTTTATGCAGTAACTCGCTTCGAGCTTGTACACAGATCGCAACTAATCGCCTTAATTAGTTAAGCTTCCATAACAAGAATCGCTCTGAAAGGGTATCATATGTTTCGAGCTTTAACGAATTTCTCTCCCTTTTTGCTGTTGTGTTTTTGTCTTTAAAGATCTCTTCTGTGGTTGTTGCTGGCTGGTGCTGTTGTTGTGGCATTTCATTCTTGATTTTGCTTTTGTGTTGCGTTGTTTGGCAACGTCATCGTCATTATCAACAACATCGCAGCAGCAACAAACATCATTACGATGATTTCCAGCGTCATTATTATGCGAGAGTCTGATGTTGAAGTTGTACGTTTTTTCCTTCTTCTCATTTTGCAATATCATAATCAGTTAGCCCCCGCACTTCTGATCTCACCCACTCTTCAACTCACTCTCTTTGCTCTTTCCCACACCCTACGCTCATTTAGCAAATTCGAATTTCGAATTCGGTGCAACGAACGCGAATTTTATAGCTGTTTCTCTCCATTTTTTCCCTGTTTCGGACTCTCTCTTTTTTTGGGGCTTCTGTCCTCTCTTCTCTCTTCTGCCTCCACCTTTCAGTGCACGATCTGCTTTTTGGATCAGCTGTGTGGTGCTGGCTGCTCTGTGGAGGTCGATCCCTTTATGGGCTCTGCTTTCTGCTTGCGGACTGCTATCAAAATGCATCGCTGGCGGTGCTTCACCCTTTGCAGTCGCCATGCCTTGCTTTGCCGTCCGCCGTCTGTCCGCTGACGTCAGTCCATCTCCCTTTGCCCTGTTCTTTCTGTCTGTCTCTTCCCCCTACTCGGTGCTCTCTGGCCGTCCGTAAAGTGTCAATGCACTTGTTCTTGTTTCCCCCAGCAGCAGCAGCAGCAGCAGCAGCAGTGAGTGTGTGTGCGTTGATTGTGTTTGTTGGCGTAGTGCGTGTGTGCTTGACTGCGTCGTCGTCGTCGTCGTCTTCACGTGCGTCGCCTCCTGCTGTTTGGG